CTGTAATGAAAGGAGTGAAGCAAGCAAGCAAGCAGGAAAGAAAGAAAGAAAGAAAGAAAGAAAGAAAGAAAGAAAGAAAGAAAGAAAGAAAGAGGAGGACAAATAAAGACAATGGGATCAAGACAAAACAGAAAAAAGAAGGATAAAGAAAGAGTTCAAGCTAGCAAGAAAGGAAGAAAGTATAAGCAAAACGGAGAAATGGTAGATAAAGAGAGGAGTGAAGCAAGAAAGAAAGAAATTAAGAAAGGAGGATAAAGCAAAAGGTGAAGAAAGAAAGAAAGAAAGAAAGAAAGAAAGAAAGAAAGAGTAAACAAACAAACAAAAGGGAGAAAAGTAGGATAAATAAAGAAAGGAGTGAAGAAAGGAAACTAGGAAATAACAAATAAAGAAATAATGAAAAAATAAATAAATAAAGATAAAGAAAGGATTCATTAGAAAGAAAGAAAGAAAGAAAGAAAGAAAGAAAGAAAGAAAGAAAGAAAGAAAGAAAGAAAAATTTAGTAAAAGATGATTAGGGAAGGAATGTAGAAAGGAACAAACAAACAAAGAGACAAAGAATAAATATGTAAAGAAGGGATGAAAGCCTGGAACGAACAAAGAAGGAAAGAAAAAACTGAACGAAAAATGTTGAAGGGAAAATAAAGTAATAATTCATCGTGCTGTTTTTTGCTTATCTGTAAGTTGTTCATTTTCTGTAAGACGCGTATGACTCGACAATAGACTAAAGGAATAATTTCTATAATTCATATGGCACCGATATCTGGGAAAAGAAAAGAAAAAAAGTAACACCTCATCATGGAAACACACCCAGAAGGATGAAAAATGCATAATGATATTCGTGTCTTATTAGTATAGACCGATATCTGCAAACTTACTGAGAGACATATATCTTTAGACGCTTACGTTCATTTGCATGGGCGCCTACCGTGGCACAAGTAAACATGTCTCGGAGACGAATTCGCAAAGTTAATGACTTCATCCGTCATTGGCTGTCCTGACGTGGGGTAGTGAGCTATACATCATTTACATTTACACTCTCCACTTATGCCCCTGTGCCAAAGTAAGCTAGGATACATAGAGCGGATTTTGCCATGGCCTAATGATTAACGAGCTAGTTTAATAGTTTATTTCTAACTAGCCAAGTCCCCGTCTTACGAACATTTATCTTGATAATAATTTTAAAATAATTCAGCAAACGATGTTATTTTATTTATGGTAAATAGATTTTTCGCGATTGCCTTAATCGGTTTCCATCATTCGATACTGTGCGTCTGAAAAAATGGCGCTTTTATCGCGGTCGTCAGAGCCATTTTTTTTTCAGCCTTTTAACTAAGAACAAATTGTACTAGCTGTTTTTATCAACTCAATCTAATTATCTCTCTCTATTTCTATCTTCCTTCCTTTCTTTCTTTCTTTCGTTCTTTTTCTCACTGAAACCAAGTATCTGTCTATATTTCTGAGATGAGGTATTATGTACATTATTTACATTATTCGGACTATTGTCCTCATCTTTGTTGCCATATTTATTACAACGTTTCGGCCTTTCAGTATCTGTCTATATTTCTGAGATGAGGTATTATGTACACTATTTATATTATTCGGACTATTGTCCTCATCTTTGTCGCCATATTTATTACAAAGTTTCGGCCCTTTACTATCTGTCCATATTTCTGAGATGAGGTATTATGTACACTATTTACATTATTTGGACTATTGTCCTCATTTTTGTCGCCATATTTATCACAACGTTTCGGCCCTTTAGTATCTGTCTATATTTCTGAGATGAGGTATTTACATTATTCGATAAAATTGTCCTCATCTTTGTCGCCATATTTATTACAACGTTTCAGCCGTTGTACGCTCCGGCCTTTTCAGATGGTTGGAATGTCGAACAGAACCTTTTATTTCGCTCACTGGGGTAGACTGTTCTAGTTCCATATGCCATGTCTAAGGAATGTCAGTTATCAGTTGTCTCCTGTTAATTCCCTTCTCCAAGTTCTCCACCGCCTTAACCAGGTATTGAACTCACACTCTTTGGGTCCTGTCACTGGATCTAACTAACGCCTTTATCCACTGTGCCGAAACGGTCCTCTGTGGCTAAATCGGTAAAGCATGTCAGGCTATATGACGGTTCCTTATAGGATACAAGTTCGATTCCTGTCGGAGGACGCATATTTTCTATGACAATTTCTCAGACATTCAGGCCGGTAAATGTTAATACATTAATACTGTTTATTAAAAACAGAGCATTTACTTAAATATTTGTATCCATAAAAAGAACGTATAAACATATAAAAATGTCTTAAAATAATTGTCGGACTTTGTCCATTTCATAATGTGCAATTTAATATGTTATTGCTATATTCGTTAAAAATATTGCTGGATGTTGGTTAATAGATTTTGATGTAGAGATTCTGGAGAATTTGAAGTTTTGTTTGTTATTTTTATATAGATAGACAATACTGCGTAGAAATGAAGATCGCCCTGAACGTTCTCTCTCTCTCTCTCTCTCTATATATATATATATATATATATATATATATATATATATATATATATGAGAGTTGTCAATTGTGAAGGTGGACAGGGATGTGTTTTTAGGTGTTGCATCCGACAAAGACATCTTAATTATGTTGTGGTCGTCATGCCAACATATGTACTTACTTTTTGTCAGAGATGAATTTCATCTTAACTTCAAGAAACTGATCAGTATAAAAAATAAGTAGACACAATATGTCTCTATTATTCAATGAAACATTTGAATAAAGATATACTGCATAAATATACACACACACACACACATATATATATATATATATATATATATATATATATATATATATATATATTAAGACATTTTTATGTTTATGCATTCTTTTATAGATACAAATATTTAAAAGTAAATGCTCTGTTTATAATAAACAGTATTAACAACATTTACCGGCCTGAATGTCCGAGAAATTTTCATAGAAAATATATGTTCTCCGACATGCCGGTAAATGTTATTAATACTGTTTATTATAAAACAGAGCATTTACTTAAATATTTGTATTCTAATATATATATATATATATATATATATATATATATATATATATATGGGTGTGGATATGTGTAAATACATCATCTTTTAGAATAAACAAATAGGCACACACGACACCATTACCTATAAATATAGACATTAATTTTTAATTGATATAAGCAGGTGATAGGTATTTGTATGGCTTAAAAAGCCAGTAGTTGTAAAGTGTGGATCACGAGGCTCTATCATGTGGATATGAGCCGGTGTTGCAAAAATTAGTTTTTGTTTGGTGGCCATTAGTCGATCAGTACAAGTCACGTACATTTGAATTCTTCAATTTAAAAGGTTGGCTTCTCTTGAAGACTCTAATATTTCAAGGTGTCTACTAAGTTTTAAGTTTAGAAGCCAAGAAGCCGGAAAATCTTGCAAGATAAATAAAAGAGTCTTTTTTTTTTAATCTTTTCACTGCTTCATTATAACCGATAGTAACAATCATGACATTGGCTATAAATAGAAATGCCGCCAAAAGTCTATAGATATGTCTATAGATATGACTTTTGGCGTCATCAAGGTTGACGGATCAAGGTCCCTGACAAATATATATAAAATTTATTTGAACATACGTCTTCAAAACGGACAAAATTTGAACCAAATATTTATGTTCAGTTTTCTTTCAATATTTTTTTTAAGTGTATACTAATAATAATCCTCATGCCAGATTATGTCGAATTTATATATATATATATATATATATATATATATATATATCCGTCGTCGTCGGCATCCGTCCGTCTCGAGAGACGATGGAGTAGCGCTAGGGCTGCCCGGACGTCTAGTCTCGTCTAGTCTAGAGTCCAAAGCAGGAGTTGCCGTCCATCCGCCTTAGGGGCACCACTCCGAGTTTGAGTTCAGAGTTGTCCTTCTCCTAGACCAGTTGCCACCCAAGGCTATAGAACCCAGTCTGTCTTGCTATTTTACCCATAGCTGGAGGGAGAAGAGGATTCACACCTTTCCCAAGGGTATTAATTAGCACGTAAGTGAATGTAATAGATTCGAATTCGGCTCTCTGATTCCGCAATCCAAACCGCTATCCATTACTCCACCGTGCCTTTATATATATATATATATATATATAAAGTCAAAGTCAAGTCAAAAATTATCCGCCTTTGTGCCATAACATATCTTAAGGTTTGTCACACTGTCTTCTGTTCATTCATGCTTATAGTTGGTACTATTGTGGTCACTTGATCGAAGTTTGAACTTGGTCGCGCCAGTTGTCTTGCTACTGTTACAGTGTAAACATGGCCGCTCCGCTAGCGGTGTGCACCACAGGAAAACAAAGAGCAGTAATTCGAATCCTCTGGTCGGAATGTGTGTCAAGAGCTGAAATTCATCGGAAGCTTTTAACACACGGCGACAGGGTAATACTGTGTAGAAATGAAAGTCGCCCTGAACGGGTTCTCTTCCAGTCCCTTTAATACGAACGCTGGTGTTCCCCAAGGCTCTATCCTGGGTCCTAAACTGTTTCCAATTTTCATCAATGATCTTCCTGATGTCATCAGTTCTCAAATAGGAATCTACGCAGATGGCACTACCATTTACACCTGTCTCAATAGCAAATCCGGCATTGCTGACAAATTTAACCTGGCCGTTTGTCTTGAAAAGGACCTTTAATCTGTGATTGACTGTGGCAGGAAATGGCTTGTAAATTTGAATGCCTCCAAAACGAAACTGCTCTCATTTAGCCACCATAGAGAAATCTCCCTGCCTCCTATCAGCATGGCTGATGCTCAACTTCACGAAAACGCCTCTCTGCGTCTTCATGGTCTCACGTTTTCCATTGACCTGAGGCTACATTGAATCAATAGCTGCATCTACTGCAAGGAAAGTTGTATCTCCGTGTCGTACCAGAAGGTTTTTCTCCTCTGAGTCCATCCTTCACATCTACAAATCTACCATTCGTCCATGCATTGAATAC